GTTTGTGGCCATCAGAATTGTGAAGGGTGCCTGTGGCCAAAGGAACCATCACAGCCCCGATTTGGAAGCAACCGACTCAAACCACTCAATTGGGGGCTCTGGATTTTGAAGGGTGTTTGTGGTCATAGGGATCCTTACAACCATTGCGCCAGCTGGGGGTAATGGAGCCGAAGGTGCTCCAGGATCAGAGTTGCTTCACCAATGGGAAGGATCTGCACATGCCAAACAACCCAAAGCTCAAATCCGTAAGCCTACGTAGTCTCAAAACGGGGGCTCTGAGTTCTAATCCCAAATCCGCCCCAAACCGGGCAATCCGATAGCTTGTAATCCGTAATCCCCCTTAGGATTAAGGATTACTTTTGATGAGGCAAAACCAAACCTCGGGCAGGCTGGGTGGTAGGGTAAAGTAGCATGGATAGGGTAAGGGCAGGCATGCAAAACACAGATCAGTCTGGAACCGAGATAAAAAATATACTGCATGCGTTATGGTGTTTCAGCGTGCACACCGCTAAACGAAGAGATCGAACAAACCATCAAAGCCGCACGCACCGCCAAAGAGTTCGATTCATGTTCATGGCTCGATCACAAGTGTAAAGGATTAAGGGTACTTTGTCTGGCCGATACATGCAATGTGCAACGGCAGCCACGAAGAATGCCTGGCTTCAATCAGGAAACAATCAACCAGTGAACTCAGAAATTTGATGGAGCCTGAATCAGAAGTGCGCTACAAAGGGCAAGAGTCTGAGAAGAATGCAGACTCAGAATGGAATTGCCGCACCCTAGAGAGCAGGTGTCTCGTGGTGATGCCTATTTGGTTGATCAAAACAGGGCTTTGAAGAAGACAGTCATCTAAAGCTAAAGCTTCGCAACTAGTCCTTGGACTTGGCAAGCTTTCCCGCACTGTGGCCAGAGAAGAGAGAGTGACTGGAACTGTGATTGACAGCTTCAATGCCTTAAATCAGATGGAGCTACCATTTGAAGAAGGCACAGGCATATGCAGGCGTGCCTTTCAAAGCCTTGTGGAGCAATGCCACCCAGGAGCCAAGGAACTGAGGAGGTGCATGATGAACAAATGGCGCCACTGCTTCCTTGCTCCAATTGAATCTGCCTCATTTGGAGATACCTTGTACTTCCTCACATGGGCTTTTTGCCATCCAACGATGAGCAGAGCCAGAGACCAAAGCCTGCACAAACACTGCGGCAAGTGACTTGGCTGGATGTCTTGGCACCAAAGCAGAGCTCAAAGGGCTACCAGCCCTGCAAGGTAAGAATGGTCAGGCAAGAAGGCAAGCAGACCCCATCAACAAGGTCATCCTTCTGCACCGGCTCAGGCACAAAAGCTTGAACGAAAGAAGGTAGCAGCTACACACGAAGAGCTGGAGTCTGCATCGTCCAGCTGGATCAAGTATGAGTCTTATCTTGATCGCGGACTCGCGGACTGTGCATGTTTCAATATGTTTGTGACCACACCCTGTGGGTGGGTCTCAAATGTTTGTCATTGAGCATTCATTGGGGCCGGGATTTCTGATCCTCTCATAGATTCTGACCAAGAAGACTAGCTCAGCCCAGCACCCGCTGTGACAAGCAAAGGTAGATCCATTGGTGGGGATCTCCCTAGTCACTTGGTGGGATAGTTTAGTTTGCTTCTATTTCAATTTAGAGAAAATGATGCTTTCATGGTCTTGTTGTTGAAAGCTGCTTTGAGATATATATATATATATATATACCCACCCACACAGCTTGCTTTACCGTCTGACATCTCTCCCTGGCTTCAGGAGACCCATCCTCCCGCCGCATGCATCCGCCTCCGCCAAGGCCGCTAGGACGACCGTCATGGCGCATCTTCCGGCTTCCCCACTCCCGGCTTCTCCGTCCGCACGAGTTGCACCACTCTTCACACACGAGTTCCCCGGAAGCCCCTGTGCCCAGGCGGGAATTGGTTCAGTGTAGTGAGGTCCAACATGGGTTGAAAGAGAATCCGAAACAATGAACTGCACATTGTTTGCTTTGTTGATATAATTTGATTGCTATTTGGGGGCACCTCTAATTAGGCCTCTTTCTCAGATTCTCAAATGCAACATCGCCTACGTGTTAGGTCTGTGAGAGCTACTTCTGGCCCTTTGCGCTCTATTGGTTTGCCGGCTAAGGTCGAGCCGCAGCTGCTGAATCTGATGATACTCTACATGCCATCCAAGTTCTCAACAGGAGCCTACATATCTGATCTCCACATCGGCAGCAAGTATCTTCCAACCAGGCTTGTGAAATGCAGCCCATGACCAGGCTTGTTGGTGAAGAACATCCTGTGCCCATTCACACAACACCCCCCTGTAGGATTGACTCTGAAAACCAAGAACGTTGGTTTGCTATGACCAAAAAACAACCCGCATTGGTTGCAAAGCCCTCCTTACTGGTTGCCAAGGCTGGAGTCAGTTACAACGGTTTCAGAAGCGATCTCAAGCATTTCCCTCGAAGGACGTAGTTGCAAGGTACTTGAGTCCCCTCATGAGAGATTGTCAATCTTCCTATTGTTGTGTGGTTTACTTGAGGATCAACACAGGATTTCCGGCCGGCGACCACAAAGAAATCACAAGAAATCCTTCACAGAAAGCCTTCAATGAAATCTCTTACGTCCGGATTGAATTATCATAGACTATATATACAGTACTAAGGCTACTAAGGTGGTAAGAAAGGGACATCTTTCAGACGACATTCTTTCAGACTACAACATTTCGGCGTACTCGTACTCCACAATCCTTCAGATGTGCCGCTGTACTCCACGCCCCATCACCGCACGAACGCTTCGTGCGCGGAGTCCGCGTTCCGTGCGGTGCTTTTCCTGCGATCGCGTTCGCGTCGGAGAGCTGCGCCTCTGGTCGAAGCCAGTTGCATCTCGTGTCCCCTCTGCTGCCCCCTCCCTCTTAGGAACAAACACGAAGGTCCCTGCAATGCCAGTCTTGGAAAAGTGGTGAGTTTGAAACCATTCTCGCCACACCAACTGAAACGTTTGGACAATGAGGTTCCAGCCCATCTATGGGAACCTTTGGGCTCCTGAGGTAGCAGGTTTGAGGTTGGTTCTTTCACTCTAAATGTTCACCACCGTTACCTACTAGCCACATTGCCCACTCCCATAGCCCGAGTGTTCATTCATAGCCCATGGCCTCATGCAAGTCCGCAAGTCTAGGCTTCAAACGGTCCTTCGAACAGTCTAGCTTTGATTGCTTGCCTGGCTGACCCAAAAAATAGAACATCCTGCAGTAGACACCTGTCAGTTTTGAGTTGACCAGACTTGACAGACCCCCCTAAACAAAGCCACCTGTGGGGAGAGAGGTGCCGTTACACCAGTTTCTTGGGATGAGTTATCACATGCTGAAATGAGAAAACGGTGCTTCCTCACTTGGGCCTCAAATTAAGACAACCTCAAAGGTTGTCAAATAAATGAGCTGTAACAACTTCAACTGGGAGTTGTCTTTCCTTTGAGACATACAGAACTACACAGGTGAACCCGACGCGCAGCCCGCTTTGCACTATGAAATCATGCACCAAGAAGGCCAGAAGTGGCCAGAGTCTCAAACTTGTTGGCATGTTTCAAAGAGCGCTCCTTCCAACTGCTGTCCAGATCTGATCCATCTTTTCCAGGTTAAAGCTTCAAGGACAACTGCTTGTTGCACTTGTTCCACTTCTTGGAATCTCATCATCCGTGCAATTGTTGTGTCTTCCATCACCCCTCACGGAAGGCTCACATTGGCCCAAATGAGTCCAAATCTAGGCCCCCTTTGACAGGCATATTGCAATTAGGAATCGTTTGGGGAACTGTCCGAGCTCGTTTCATGTACTTTGCCAGTCGCGGAGCGTGCAGCCAAATAGCCTTGATTGTTCCTTCATTTCGATGACTCCGTTACAGTTGTGGTCTCAGGTACAAAAAAGCATACAAAAGCACATACTCAAGCCTACATGCATATGCATATATAGGTATATATATACCAAAGAATCCTGTTCATCCTCCAACACATCCGAACAGCTCCGCTGGACCTCCTTGGTGCCCGGCACGGAGCAGGGTGAGCCCCGTGTGCCGCGTTCAGAGTCACCGCTGTGCCGAGTTTCTCCCGGCGTTGAAAGCGGCGCTTCACGGCGTCCCAACCCACCGCGGGCGAGACGTCAGAGAAAGCTTTTTGCGTTCGACCAGTCATCGAGAATTGGATGGTCTTCCTGAGTCCTCCGAGTAAGCCCCAGTTGAGAAAAAATATTCTGAGAAAGTTTTCCACCACTGGCTAAGAGTGATATTTCGAAGTGCTTGGGGGGAAATTGCGTTCGGCTGTTAACTATTGAATTTGTTGCTATCACTGCTATCATTGCCTTGCACCGCCTGCCACTCATCTGCTCACCTGCCATGGTCGGCTGGCTTCAGTGTGAATTGCAAAGTGTCCTCATAAACAGATCAGGTGGCAATCAAGCAAATCTGCATGGAGACGGACAACCGTCCGGTCCAGTAGTTTCTGGTCCGGACCAGATGAGTCCACGTCGCATGACTTAGAAGCTCTCAAACAAACGCAAACGTTAGTCATTCCACGTGAAAGGCCATTGATATTTGTGAAAGACCCAATATGCAGGAAATCTATCCACGCAGCGTTCTTCTCGCATTCACGTATTTCCAAACAGGTCTTCAGAACACTAGATTTGTGACTATAGGAACACAACAGAAAACACTAGTCTTCACTTCCCAGCCAAGCACTTTGAGCGAGGATCCTAGAATTTGAAACGAAAGCAGGCCTGCGAGTACACACACACTGATATAATCCCCTACATATAAATAAGACTAAAAACAGTAAGACTTCTGAAGTTCACGTGTCGTCAACTCTTCTGGGCTCTACTTGACGTGCTGCTTAAACCCGATGACAGAACCAGCTTGGACAGGGAAATCTCTCAGGGGTTGTTTATCATCATGTTGTCATCCATAAACCAGGGAGCAGTTCCCTCCCATTCTCTCACTGTGCCTGACAAATGATGTTTCCTCTACTAGTACCATCTAGTAACTAGTACCTACAGTAGTGCATCCTAGTGCCCTTTCATCGCCGAAAAGTCTTTCCTGGCCTTGCTTAAGAAGCACGGCTCTCGAACTCGTTCATGCCCAAAAACCTGATCCCACCAACTCCACGACGTACGCCGACGTACGTTGGCTCGGTTCCCGATCAACCAAGGGTTCAGGGTTTGGGATGGGAGGAACCAGTTAGCTGGGCATGGCAATGCGGACGGGTTCTTCAGTCGTTCCATGCAGGAACCAAACCTCAAACCGAACTGCTTCGCTCCACCGGACCGGTTTCCGGCGCCTCCGATTGACCGAAGTGGGGGGGTGGGACTTGAAAGGCGGTTCGTGGTACTTGAAGACCATGCCAAATTGCTTGGTGGAACCCCAGGTTTCAGACCGAAAATCCGAAGCTGCGCGATCGTCGCCCGCTTCTTCCACACCCCTGTCGTCCGTTGTGGTTCTTAGGCCCCGGCTCGTCCATCGCCGACTTGATGGAACCCTCGATTTCAGGGGTGATCTGCTTCTTCGTCATGATTTCCTCGGTTCCAAAACGGGGAGCAAAAGTGTCCTGTGGCCGAGCGGAACCGCTCAGGCAGTTTTTCACGGATGCAAAGGGTCTGTACAGTCAAAAGTGTCAGGTGGAGCTGTGCCACGCACTTTGCAGGTGGTGTAAGTTGCCAGCTTGAAGAATGGATTCTGGATTTTGACCCCCATTGATCAGCCCATATCATCACTCGAGTGAGCTCGTTCTACTGGGAGTTTTGCTTGCGAGATTTTGCAGAGCAGTACAAGTTGGATCCCACCTTCCCTGCATCAGCCCGCCAAAGAACAGTTGTTCATGCCTTTGTATATAGACGGATTGAAGTAGTCCATCATTGCCACTGGTGCAATTCGAGAGATGAGGCCGACATGTTGCTTATTTTTGAAACCAGGGCCAGTGGTGGGAAGCAAGTATGCCACCAAAGTCCTGCATACTTCAGATCCTCAAGGTGTGTCTCCCACTCCGAACAAACCCAGTTTCTCAGGTCTCGCCTTAAGGACATCAGCCTTGGTGTCCTTAAAGTGCTTCAACCACAGGGCCTCAAAACGGAGGATCTCCTTGGTCGCCACCTGCAACGCGAGCCAGAGCGTACACTCTCAGATGTGGAGCGGAAGAGGCGGAAGAAACGCATAACCAGAACCACACTTGCCGAGTTGCAGAGTTCTACTCGGTGTCCATGGGATCTGAAATTCACATTCATGTCACATGTCCAAATAAACAGGTCAATGTGGCCCGATGGTTGATGTGGATGAGTACCACACCATCTGCAAGTGCAGGGTGCACTTCATTGCAGGGATCTGCTCCCGAGGTTGGTTCTATTCAGTCCCGGAAACGGATCCTTAACTAACCCTCACCAAGCAGACCTACTCAGACCTACAAATCACTCACTTGCTCAAAGGGATGGGAACCCGCTTTGTTCAGCCACTGAAGCAACAAAGAGGTGTCCCCCAAAAGTAAAGAAAGTCACTGGCCGGACTGAGGGCAAATCAACCACAGACCTGTGAAGATCTATTTCGTATGTATCAACACTTTGACACCTGACTCAAACGCCTCAAATCCATGGCACGCCACCACCACCTGCCCAATACAATAGGTAGCCTCAGAGAACCCAGGTAGCTTGAGGCCTTTCGTGACTTCAGCCCGTAGAACGCCGCACCGGGCCTTGTCGAGGTAGCCTCGAGTGCCCGCCCAGAGGGATACGATGATCTCCGCCGTCGTCATGGGGACAAACCTTGCACTGCCGTCGTCATGGGGTCTTCTACTGACTTAGGACGGGAAATGTTTTGTTGATGGTATTGGTGAGTCTTTTTGTTGGAGCATAGAGATGTGGTGACATTACGTCTTTGTGACCGGTGAACTGATGTTGTGGTCGTGGTGCTACTTCACACCTCAGCACGAAGATGTTAAGAGTATCCAGCATCCAGTTGACCCAAAATACTTGCACCGAATGTCTTTGACTGGGATGGTCACCTAATCCATCTGCAAACTCTCCAAATCCACTTCCGAGCCGCTGCTTCTGCTTCAGGAGCTCCGTCAAAATGCCGCCTGACCCAGCACATCCGCAGGATGAGCGCTTGTGATCAGCTTCAGCTTCAGAACGCCAAGACTCTCAAATGGCTTGGTACAGCGGTCCAGGTCGCTCAAGAGTCTCCAACGCCGGGCTCATGGACGGTGCTACCGTTTGAGGAACCTGGTTGGTTGGTTGAGGAACCAGGTCCAGAGACGAACGTTGCTAAGAACGGAGGCAAAATCTCTACAGAGACACAGGGACCTGTCTATGGTTGTTCTACAACACTTCGTGCATCGTTCCTCACATGCCAACGGATCTACAACGAATCTCCCCCATCTCTGGCCACTCCCATCCCGCGCTCCGCGTAAAAAAGAACGCCTCGCAGCAGCTGGTGTTGGGTGGCCGCATCCAGGTCGGAGCCGAACTGGGCGAAGGCGGCCACCTTGGGGCGAAACACAGGCGGTGAAGGTGTGAGGTCGACCGGGGGAGAAGCACCCTGGTCGACCTGGAGCAAAAACTGTGAGGTCAAATGGGGCTTGGTCTGGTTTGGATTGGAAAAATTGAAAAACCCGCACCTTCTTGGCTGCGAAAGATCAACCAGGGCACTTTCAATAGATTGGTTGGTTTGAATCACCAACAAACCAAACCCTCAAGATGAATCCAAAGCTGCTTCTTTGAAGTCCGCGGAAACCCACAAGTCCGTTCACTTCTTTCTCCATGGTGCCCAAAACAGGGATGGCGACAACTTGAGGTCGAACATGTTATACAGGTTGCAGCATCTCAGTCTCGGATGTGGAAGAATCTTGGTGAAATTTTGAACCATGGATCTTAGTAGATCCACCTGGTGATATTTTGGCAACATTGCCACTTGCAAAGTGAATGATGTTCATCTCTAACAACTGGCACACCAAAATTGCAAAAGATTCCACATAGAACCTCCATCTCACTTTATTTGGCACCGCTGCGCGGAAAAAATGTTTCTGGTTAACCAACTGGCCCGCTAATAGGACCACATGTTCTTAGGTTGAAACTCTTATTAAAGGTCCAATACAAGGATTCAACGTAGAACCGGGGTCTTGCCATCGAAACCCCCCACACAGTTGGACTCTGACTACGGAAAACTGTTCCCTAGCGAGCTCACTACAGAATATGGCGAGGACCATTTGGTTTATCCTCAGGTAACAAGTTGTTTCTTGACCCGCTGTTGGTCATTCGTCGCTCAGCATCTCGATGGAATGGGCATCGTTTGCTCAGCAATCCTTGCCGCGTAAGTTTGTAATGAAATTTTTCGCCACTGTGGTTGCAAGGTGTAGCTTCCCCCGTCTGCGGGGATTTTATCCCATCAACAACTATAGTTCTACAACATGCACGTTGTGCCGTTTTCTGCCAGTTTTGCATGAGGTGATTCATCGTCACTAAGAACTTGATCTGCCATAGCAGTTATTTACAAAGTACTACATGTGCGAAAGGAGTCACCCTCCCTACGTCCCAACGCGTCCCCAACACGTCCCAACTCCCCCTGGCTTCGACCTCACGGTACTGCGCCAGCTCCAACTTCAAGGTACCTGCCACCTGGTCGGCGCGACCATCAAGCAAGTCGATCTCCAAACAAAGAGCGGTCGGTCGTCGAGTTGCAACGCGGCAACGTCCTGTTTCCAACGAAGCGTGCGTGTGACACAGTGGCTGCGCGTGGGGAGTTATTGCTCGTTTGTCTTTTCTTGACAACGTATGCTTCTAGCAAGGAATTTCAGATCGTAGGATCGCTGCACGCGGCAAGGACCTTCAACAAGATTGTGGGACCTCAATCGAAAAATGTTCATGACACATGATGTTGTGAGCAGTCGCGCACCAATGGGAACATTGACTGGGTACAAAAGAATCATAAACCTGTCAGTTGGTCCTTATACCCCAAACTACCAAGAGGCCACACCCTCTGTCCCCGTGCTTTCTCTCCCCGTGCTTTGTCTTTGTCTTGAACCTGACAGTATTGAGCCTCGTGCTCATTTTGGGCAACCTCTTCTTCCACCCTTCAACCTTTTTTTTCACCCCGCCCCTTTTATTCCACCCTCCACCTTTCTATTTCACACTCAGAACCTTCTTTTCACCCTCTACTCGTTCTTTTTTGACCCTCTACCCTTTCTTTTTCACCCTCCTTCCTTTGGTTGGTGTGTTGGTTGGCTGGCTGGCTAGTTTGATGTTGATGGATTGCGTGGTACAGCGCTTGATGGATATGCATTTGTTCTGTTTGTTTGCTTGTTTGATGGGAGGATGAATGGATGGATGGATGCTCTGTAAATGAAGGCGGGAAGGGGTGCGGGGAAGGGCGCAGCACCTCCCCCGCCACGCTAACCAAGTAATGACAAGTTCGGGAAAACACAAAGTTACGCGGTTCGGTTTCTCTGTTCGTTGGTTGCTTGGTTTGGCCTCTTTGTTGCTTGGTTGGTTGGTCAGTTGGCTGATGGATGGATTGAATGGGCGCTGTGTAAATAGAAAGAGGCGGGAAGGGGTGTGGGGGAGGGCGCAGCGCCTCCCCCGCAAAGCAATTCAAGTATCGACAGCACTTGGGGAGAACACATACAGTGATTGAAGGGTCATGGACAGGGGTGGTTGGTTGGCTTGCTTGATGTTGATTGATTGCGTGATACAGTGCTTGATGGATATACAATTTTTCTGTTGGCTTGCTTGTTTGAAGGATGAATGGATGGATGGATGGATGGATG